TTGCGTTGTTACGTATAGCATAAGCATTCACTGTTCATATGACGTAGATATTCCAGATATTGTCTTTCATGTATAGAAAAGAATTTTCCCTAATCGCCGAAATTAAATCTGAAACTTCCAAGCTTTGGCGCAACAAGGAAAAACTAACAAAAACTTAGGATAAATAACATAAATTTATTAAATTACTAAAATTATCTTCCTTAAGCATCGCTTCATCGGCTGAGCTAAATTTAATTAGCACGTGTATTCTACGCGGACATGTGCACTGTGGGTCGGTAACATATATATTCAAATAGTCTAAAAATGGACTACGACAATAAGCAAATTGGTTTTGTAGATTGTAAACAGCGATTTAGGCCCAAATTCACTTAAGCTTTGACAGATATTCTGTTTATGACGCAAATTAGCGATTTATCTGTTGATTACGAATGTAATTACAATAACAATTGCAGGTGACTTGTGTTTGACGTTATGTTGTATTGAAGTTTTCTGTGTTGAATTTTTTTTTAGTATTTTTTTCAATATTGATCCAGAACTGCGAAAACAAATGAAAACATTAATTTAAATCATGTCAATGGTTGAAAAAACGCACAGTACAATAGCGCACAATTAATTTGTTCATCCTACAATCGTTCCTTACAGCAGTGTGAGTGCGTCAACATGTGTGCGCCCTGTAATAGAGCGATGACGTGATTTCCTGCGCTGAGTTATTGCTACTGTACCGGCGCTAAATGGTTCGCGTGCTGTGACTTTGTCGCGGGGGAATATTTATTATTTATTTATTTTTGAGCCTATTCCACTACAATGAACTAGATCTTAAAGAAAGATTACCTACAATTTTACTTTACTACAAAATTTGTGGTCTATTCTGAAGTGACTTATTGATTTTCTTCTCTTTGATATCTTCGATGCTGAGTAATTTGCAGGCAATAAATTTGGTTCACAGCCAGCACTCTCTTATTTATTTTGGTTATGGACTGCCCATATTCCGATACTACTGCGTACTGTGTATGAATATGATGTTATGAAATACCAAAATGTCTGGGACAACGTAAAACTATTACACGAAAGGAATTCAGATATCAGAATCAGTTTAAAATAACCTTAAAAATATCAATTAACACGAAATCGATCACATGAGGTCATTAGGATGGTTTGTTATCGACACAATTAAATATAAAATTATAAAAATCATCAATTATGTTGTTAATATACACTAATCGCTAGATTAGAGTCTTCAAAAAAAAATTATTACACGCCTTTGATTAAGATAATTAAGTGGTTAACCGCGAAATGTAATTTTCGGATGGGGTTCCGTAGTATGCTATCCTGAAGATAGCATAACCGACGCTGTTATGTGTGGTTACAATAATAGGGTTTTTCTTTAATTTACAATGTTTTCTTTTCATAATTTAGTTAAAGCGTTCCATGTATCTTTAATTACAATGATTTATTTTATGCGTTTTGCAAAATTATCTGTGTTATAGTGAAGTTGAAGACATGGTGAGAGAATCAATTCATTTATGATACAATTTGTCAGATGGGCCCACCTTCTTTTTTTTTTTGGGCCGGGACCGAACCTCCCACGAGGTCCCCGCGCCTAGGGAGCGCATGGGGTATATAGGACTGGTCCGCGACTGCAAGACCGCGGGTCCAAGGATGTTTTCAGGGTCCTACCCACTAAACGACTCCCCTGCACTCTTCATCCAAGCGTCCGATCCCCTACGAGGTCAGAACCCGTGTTACCGCGGTCAACACTACAACCAGACGGCGCAGCTCACCCCAAGGACGCCCGGCCGACGGAGTCTTCGAGGCGAATCGAAGGCTCTGAAACGTCGGCCGTCTCGGTACTTCAGCCCGTCAGGCCACCCAGATGGTGCCGCTGTCGTCCCGGAATACAGATGGTCCTACCTTTTTTTTTTTTTTTTTTTCGGGTATAGGGCCTAACTACTCCTTCGCCGGGCGCCCTTCCCCCCTAGAGCGGAGGTCGCTACGCCACCTGTAATCGGCAGCGAGCGCCTCCGCCTCCAGGTCCCAGGGTGGCGCCCCGGCGAGCAAGCACGCCGCCTCGAAGGAGACGGTGCGGTATCCTCGGATCGCCCTGACCGCGATCGCGCGCTGCGGACGTCGCAGCGCCGCGACGTTCTTGCGGGTCAGGGCGTGGCACCATACGGGCGCGCCGTATAGTGCCATCGACCGCACCACCCCCATGTAGAGGCGGCGCGCCACCTGATCGGGACCCCCGACGTTTGGAAGCAGCCGGCTCAAAGAGCCGGCCGTCGCCATCAGTCGAGGGCCCAACTTCGCAAAGTGAGCGCGGAAGTTCCACCGACCGTCCAGTTCGAGGCCGAGGTACCGAAGACCGGTCACCCCGACCCCGACGCGGACGCCTCCGATCACGAGGTGGGCACCCACAGGCGGCGCTCGTCCCGGCCCGTGAAAGAGCAGGGCCTGGGTTTTGTCGAGAGATGGTCCTACCTAGCACTATGTTTTTTTTATTTTTTTTATTATCGTTGTAGGCAGACGAGCATACCAAGGCCAACCTGATGGTAAGTGGGTACTGTTACTCGTGGAGTTCAGGAATGCCAGGGGCAGAGCCAAGCCGCTCCTCACCGTTGAGTACTCTCCACAGGCCTCATTTGAAGAAGGGCATGTCATAGCACCTTGAGGGGAGCTCATTCTAAAACCGGATGATACGTGGCAGAAAAGATCTCTAGAAATGCACTGCTGACAAATGGAGTGGTTCCGGGTAGTATGGATGAGCTATAATCCGGTGGGGGGCGATGCGATAGTAAAAACGATATTATGGGGATGTAGCTACGGGTGCACATAGAGACCATAATCAGGGACACTTCAAATATGAGGTCGAAGTAGTCAAAGTGGATGGCATATAATATCGAATCCAAATTAAATTAGAACCAACACGCATGGTTACTTTGCGACTGATAGGGCCAACTCATGGAGGCTGATAGCAAACTTCTACCATTAGAATGCCTATAAAACTTTGCATTACAATGAAATGAAAAAGTCAAATAAAAAATTAAAATGTTTCATAGCATGAATTCGTGAAGCCCTAATAAGTGTTTATCATGCCATATTTATTGACATTGCGATCGACAATCAATATAATCGAAGATATAAATTGTAGCCAAGAATAATTTCAAATGTTATATGAATTTTCAGAACCACCTGGTGTGTAAAGTAGTAAAAAGTGTGCAAAGGAAGTATACCTAAGTAAGTATATTTAAAATAATATCTAAATTTTACCAACAAACTCACTATAAGCATAATGTAAAATTCCGAATAAATAGATACAGACACCTTAAAAAAGTGTTCTTCTAACCGACAACATCCATTGCAATAGTATATGGTATATGTTATAAGGTACTGGTAATTGGTTGTCACCAAGCGCTCTGGTTGAAAGTTATTAATCTTATTAATCGTCCTTGTAGTCGTAGACTTAGAATTTACCAAAATTAAATGACGATCAGGACCAGGAAAAATATCTTTTAATAAAAAAGTGTTAACGAATAATTGTTTTCTCTTGGATTAGGTAGAAATTGATATTTTATTAAATGGGTTTATCACTGTTCCACTAATCACAAATTTGGTGACGTGGAAAAACAACTGAGTAGGCAGTGATGGATGTGTTTAAAGCTAGATAAGGATTCACTAAATGCAATCTGAGACTTTTTTTGATAGATGGCTGTGTAAATAGCAAAGTTTTTAATATATCGACTGCGGAATAATTACCTGCAAACAGTTAATGGAGGTGCATAAAACGGACAGCAGTTAATCTACTGGAACATCTTATGATTCCTGCCAGTACGGATTTTATACGGAGCTTATCGCTATTGCGTGGTTATTGTTATCGCTGTAACAACTACAACAGGCTATGGCTCAAAATAGACCTCCAGATATATTTTTTTTAGTTTTTATTGTATGAAGGTTGAATGAGCTTAAATGAAAAGACAACCTTTGCACCAATATTTTTATCGTATCTCTAGGAAAAACAACTATTTACTTCTTTTTATCTTCAGCATGGCTTAATTTATGTCTGTAATCGTTTTAAATTTATCAATTAGATCTTTTTTAAACTGTAAATGTGATAATACAATATTGTGTCGCTTGATAAATCTAGGTTGCATTAATCAAACGTAATCGTTTACGCTGAAGAATGGTTTAATTGATTTTTTATCATTTTTAATTACTTTTTTATGAAAATAATACCCTAAGGTGATTGGAAAAATATTTTTATGATATATTCTAGGATGTAATACTCAATGCATATGTATATATTTATTTTATTGTGTTGTTGCCTTTATTTGATACAAATCTTAATTGTCCGTTATTGATTAATGTTTTATTTGAAAAGTTTAATTAATATTAGATAAAAATGTTATCGTTCTAATTAACGTCGCACGATTGTGAATCGGTCGAATGCGTGGTTTAAAAGTTTAAAAGAATTAATATTAATTCACTTGGTTTTTCAGTAATTTATTTAGTTTTTCCTTTTAATCCTAAAAAAGAATAAAATCACAATGATTGTTGCGCTTGTTGACTTGTATTTTATAATCCTAGACGGTAGGTCAAATCATTTCACTCATATCACTTATTAATCTATGAAAAGGCTGATAAATGAAAAAAAGTCACTAAAGATAAATAATAAGATCTCAATTTTATAGGGATTATAATATCGATAGTCTATAATTACACTGAGGGTCTACTAGGAAGTCATTTAACAAACTATTTACACGGCGACAAATAAGTAAGTAAATTAAGTGTTGTGATTGATTGATGATGAGAGTTATGATTTTCGATGTTGCCTGTTTTCTTTTGTTTGATTAAAAATTTGAATGCCTTAAGATTTACGCAAACTAAATGAAATAAAACAAAGTACGCCATGCAAAAGTTAAAGCACGCGTCCCGAACGAGGGGGTGGAGAAGGCAACAACTCATAAAATTAAGCGATTTGGATGTGAGTTAGTCTAACTGCGAGTATCGGTGTGTTAACAGTCCGCTGGCTGTCATTTGATTTCGACATTCACGCACCGTCCGCGTTTGCAACACCACGCAACATAGCTGTGGTAAACGGTTTTTTCGCGCCATAAACTGTTAATATTGTTTTATTTGTGTGTTTAATTGTGTTTTTGTGCAAGGATTTTTCTCTTAAGGTGAGTTTAATCTTTGAAAGTTATACACATATAATTTTGGTAAACGCGCGTTAAAAAAAGTATGGACTACTGCATTTTTAGTGATGTTTGTTTACGTGAAATAATCGTTTTTCCAATGTTTTGATGTTACCGTATGTACCGTAAATTAAAAGCTGTAACATAAAAAATATTAATGAAGCTATTTAGTTGTAGAACTTTTCAAACATCTTTTTTAATTCAATATTGTTTACGCAAGTAGAATTTAAATTTACTACGCTTAGGCGCGAAATAAAAATACAATTTTTTTAATACAATTCACAGATACCGGTACAATATTATTTAAAAAAAAAAAAAAAACATGTTTTTCTTTGTTTACATTATTCGTCTGATATTATTTTACAATGTTCTATACATATCTACTATAAACAATAAATACATCTCTGTAATTCTATGAGAGACAAGAGAATGTTAAAGAAGTTATGACTTTCTTTAATGATGTAAATAGAATTGGTTGGGGGTTTAGTTGCTGCAATTTCTGGTAATAGATATCTCTATATTATTTAAATTCAAACATTAATGTATTGGATACAGGCAATAGATGTTATCTGACATTTAATTTTCTAACCAGTAGGTGGAAATTATTGGAAGTTGTTTGAATTTAGGAGCTAGAGTATTAAGCACATATTTTTAACTGGAAATTCGAGACATTTTCTTTTTTCTTTAACACATCAGTCTGGTCGACATCAAATTACAATCTTTGTACTCTAAACTTTTCGGGGTAAAAATGAACTTTTTCGCAGGCGACTGAGGAATTTATGGTCATTTGAAAATGCCGATCTATATATATGATATGATATTTTCTAATGAAATACGTAATTAACAAATGTTCACGATTGACTTCCACGGTGAAGGAATACCATCGTGTAATAAAAATCAAACCCGCAAATTTTAATTTGCGTAATGACTGGTGGTAGGACCTCTTGTGAGTCCGCGCCGGTAGGTACCACCACCCCGCCTATTTCTGCCGTGAAACAGTAATGCGTTTCGGTTTGAAGGGTGGGGCAGCTGTTGTAACTATACTTGAGACCTTAGAACTTCTATCTCAAGGTGGGTGGCGCATTTACGTCGTAAATGTCTATGGGCTCCAGTAACCACTTAACACCAGGTGGGCTGTGAGCTCGTCCAACCACTTAAGCAATAACAAAAAAAAGGTGCTTCAATAGCTGATTTAAGTTAAACAAAAACTATATGCAGACGTGTTAGTTATGAAATAAAACAACATTCAAACGTAGATTCTATATGTGATCATCCAATATTAATTACTCACATTCTCTTACAGCTTTCTAACTAAACTACAATTTTAAATTATTTGTGTCTAGACATATATTTAATGTATAATCTATGGTCTAGACTTAGCATAACAATTTTAGACCACAGAGAGTTAAACTAGCGTTTTAAATGTCAATGGCGCTGATGGACTTTGATGTCAAAGAATATAGGCTGATCAAAACCAATGATGAAGACAGATTCCAAGATACAATAATTTCATTGTTAATAGCTTATTTAGGAAACGTTGCAAGCATTGTGATAGAAGAAAAGGCTAAATTGCCACTTCAATAACGACCTGAAAAACGAATCACCGCTGTTCAGTAACGGTTGATTAAGCTACGCTTCTCCAAAATCATAAACAGATATCTAAGTATGAATAGGGAATACCAAATATCGTGGACCGGGCCGCAATTACTTAGAACCTAAACCAGACGCACCAAGTGTTTTGTGTTGGGAACTACTCTTTATATGATTATTTTTTAGTGAAATAGTCTTTATTTGTTGATTTCTCACCTTTTTTTCAATTATAAATAGGCAATGAATAATTCGATGTGGATTATCAATCTCTTGACGTTATCTGTCGACAGCGAATCCTTGCAACTTTCGGGATGAGAACGATGTTATTTTAGACAATTTTGAATCATAAAAATGGAACACACAGTCGAGATTACCTTGCGTTTCATTACAAAACAAGTGACAAGCTTAAGGTGCCAGTAAATCCGATCCCAAAGTTTACGATTGCCTTTAAATATGAGGTCGTCAGCGCAAAAGTGGCCTAACCCACAATTTTTCATAATCATGCTTATAGTTATGTATATTGCAATTTATTTAAAAATAATAAATTTTGATGAAAAACCGGTCGGTTCATAGTTTCACCCATAGATAACAGATGGCTTTGTAAACATTATTTTTGCGCGTATTATTTCTTTGCCTACTCAAATTCAAATTCATGAAAACTTAAACTTCATTGCTCCATAATAACTATAGCAAGCTTAGGCCAGTTTTGCGCTGACGGCCTCATATATCCGTTCGCTTGCTTTTTCGTTTCACATTATCGCAATAAATAATTACGATTAAACTTCAAAATATGTTTACGTCTATCGGTAATATAACTTTTTAGATTAGCAGTTCGTTTGTGGTTACAGGAGACCGTAGACAACAGTGAATGCCGTCATCCACCTTGAGACTTGAAATCCAAATCTCAATTATACTGTATAGCAGTGTTTCCCAACCTTTTTTGTGCCGTGCCCCACTGTAACACTTCTAAAATTTTTATGTCCCCCATACATAATTTTTAACATTAAAAATTTTATTTGTTCACTTAAGAAACATAAATGACAGGTTTTAGGAAGAAATCACTATGAAATTGTTATCAAAAGACAGTAAGTAATATTTCAAAACATATAATAAAAAACTGAAATTCAAATTCTAAATAATTTTAATACAGATTTTCTATATTAATTCAGTGCGATTGCCCCCCTTAATTATCAAAATTGCCCTCTTGTAGGGCGTTGGCTCCACGTTGGGAAACACCGCTATTCCACCCTTCAAATCGGACGTTCGTTTCACAGTTTCCCTTCACAATTCGCCTTACCACCAATAAAATAAGACACTGCGGATGTAACAGTAATTATTCCATGTTCGAGTTCATACTATGAATACGAACACGGTAAAGCAATATATCTTTTTTTTAATAAAAAATGAGATGCAGTCCATTGGTACAATTTCTTTTAATAAGCCTCCATGGCTACGTACCAACATCCTGCGTATTCTCAGAGCTTATGGATCAGAGTGACCACAGTGTATCTCACGCAATGGGCTGGGCCGTGAGTTCAACTGCCCATACAGAATGTTTTCTAAATCTCGATTGGACGCGAATTCTCCAGTGACACAATAAGGTTCTACAAGAATAGGTTAACTGGTGTCCCTCAGGGTTTCTCAGTGATCGCGGCTATTAATTAATTAAGTAATGTAATAACCACGACGACACACACGCAGAGAAGTCTCGAAGGAGAAACAGCGGCGTGTGAAATTAGATATGAAATAATGTTCGATCACTGATCAGTGGTCAGTGTTAGATTATAATCATTGAAAATTCTAGATTTAGAATATTTGTTTATGACATTTTTTTCTTGCATAAGTGGAAAAAAAGATTCTCGTCAAAAAATCTTGTTCGTAATTAACTACTAAGTAATTAAAAACAAAATTCTCACAAAAAATAAAACGGATTTCAACAGTATTAAATCAGAATATCATCAATGTAGTTAATTAAAATTAAGTCAATTAAATGAGCATTATTAAGAATAACTCAATAAGTAGCGGTTAGATCTTGAAAATGCTTAAATGGGACCACATGAGAACCACAAACATTAAAATATAAAAAAAATCGTCAAAATCGATTCACCTCGAAAAAAGTTCGAAGGTTCTTTTTTTTTAGGTCGGTTAAAAAACAATAAAATTGATGGACAAACTGTAGGAAAACAATCATTGAAATGTTTTGTCTTTGCCAGTTTATTAAAATACGTGATTAAGAATAATGATGCACTCCAACGACAAATAATATACCTAGGTACCCGGTACCTAATTTGATTTGAAACATTATCTTGCAGTTTGTGGAAAAATCGTGCTATCTGCGGCACCTGTCATAGCGGTAGATAAAAAATATCAATTTAAACTTTAATTAAAAGTTTTGAACACGAAAATACAAGAATGAAGTAATTACAGTAATGTTTGCGTGAAACTCGAGCGAAAAAAGTGTGGTTTAAGAGTATTCATTGGGAAAATATATTTTAATCGGTGTACCTGATTGTTCGTCGTATTAAACGGAATATCGGCATTTAAAGAAATATTATTTTTAATTAATTTTATTGGTTGTTTCCTATGTCGACAAAGCTTAAGATCCTCCTGATGGTGAGTAATCACCCATGAAATTCAGCAATGCCAAATGTTAAAACCTCATGGCAATACGTACAAGACTGACTCGGTGGTGAAGGTTTTTTTTTATTGCTTAGGTGGGTGGACGAGCTCATAGCCCACCTGGTGTTAAGTGGTTACTGGAGCCCAGAGACATCCTACAGCGTAAATGCGCCACGGTCTCAAGTATAGTTACAACGGCTGCCCTACCCTTCAAACCGAAACGCATTACTGCTTCACGGCAGAAATAGGCAGGGTGATTGTACCTACCCGCGCGGTCTCACAAGAGGTCCTACCACCAGTAATAGTAAGCCCCGACTGTAGCGCTGAGGGTCGTGGGTTCAATTCTCACGTCGGGTTAGTGTGTGATGAACAGGTTTGTTTGCTCTTTGTCTGGGTATTTATTATCTATACCTAACCTAACCTATCTATATATTATAAGTATGTAAATATTTAGATGTATGTAAATAAGTATGTAGGTATGTCAGTCTCTGGTATTAATTACACAGGGAATCCTAAATTGGGGCCATATAGCCGCGCATGATTTGTTCCAAATTATTAGTTGTTATTATTAGTAAGTACTTCTTCTTTCTTTCCTATTGCCCTCTGCTGGGGTGTAGGGCTCGAATTAAATCCTTCCATTTACATCTGTTTTGGGCAGTCTGTTTTAACTGCTCCCACGTCATACCCAAGACGCCCAGCTCCTGTTCTACTGAGCGACGCCAAGTTGTCCTGGGACGGCCTCTCTTTCCAGGTCAGTGATCTCTTGGATAGGCGGG